TTGAAGAAAATTAAGTTTCTTATGAAAGTGAAAACAGATATTTATTCAATTAAACATCATTATCAAAAGTGTTGTTGAGTGTGATAAGCTTGAAAATAATCGATTACGCATAACTCAACATCACATTCTTCACACTGATATCTTGTATATTTGACTGATTTTTCACGTTTTATTGTATGAGAGCATACATGACATTTTCTTTCGGCAGCTGTTTTTGAGGCACTTAGATCTTGAGAGTGTGGGTGTAGAGTGTGGGTGCTGTTAAACGTAATACATACACCCACACTCACACCTGTATGTAATATAATTTGACGTTTTATAAATAAAGCAATGTAAAATTTCGTTACAATTTGCAAATTGAATCTTTTATTTTTTACTAAAATCGTTAAAAAAAAACTTGATAAAGAAATAAAAATAACATTAACTTACAACATGATTTTCATCAAGAGCAGCAAATTGCTTTCAAGCAATCTATACGATGTTTCAATCAGATGAACGAACATCTTCAGATATCTGAAAAAAAGCAATAAATTTAAAAATGTGAAAGGTATTTAATATTGATGGAGGATATCGGCATTGTCACATCATACCATTCAGAGTTTAGGTTGAACTCGTTAAATCACCAACATTTTTTTCGGACATGAATCACGAACATTTTGCTTTTAAAGAAAATAAAATGATTAATTTACCTTCTTATTTACATTAAAAGAACATCTTTAACAGATGCTTGATTATTGTATATGTGTTCATTGTCGGCTTCATTTATTCAAAAATGAACATCCAACAGTGAAAAGAATGAAAAAAAAGCGTAGATCAAGAAAATAATTCTTTTTTTTTCTATTCTTCTCTCGTCCATAACTTAGCGTTTATGTTATCATTCATGATGAATGATAACATGACGTAATAATCATATATATCAGTTAAGCATTATCCATATACATATATTGAGATATTTGTGATTGAATTTATCTCAATGTATCTGTGTATGCTGATGATAGCTTAATAATTATCATCTTTTGATCACTCTCTGACTAAAAAAATCGTTTTTTTTGGGTAAGTATAAATATGAATGATTTCCTTTGAAATAATTATTCAATTTATTGAATCAAATATTAATCCTTTTCTTTTTATTCCCTCGACTGTAGGGAGGGTCATATGAAAACAAAATAGCTTGTATGTGTGTGTATGTGTGTGCGTGTGTCTATTTGTGTGTTTGCATCGGAGTCAAAAAAACATCATTTCACACACTCATACTTTCACTATGAAGAATTAACCAATCAGATGTTTTCGAGGGTGGGCTATCCACCAATCATATTTTTCGCTTCATTTGTTATCATATTAGATGTGGTTAAGAACTACTTGGATGATGGTGTGTCTCCGGATGTATGAATAGGTACTCATAGGTTAATGAACCCTAGTGTGGATGAGTTGCCTTGGTTAGAAGGAGACGACCCAAACGTCGATGAATTTCATTTGTGGCTGCGCGGCCGCCCAAATGTCAACTGAATTCAGTGGTCGCATCGTGAGCAGCGATATATGAATGAATTTGGGTAATAGCACTCTCCGCAGTCAAGTGTCGATGGATTTCGATGGTTTCAGACTGGCCGCCCTCATGGAGATGAATTTCGTTGCTCATAGAACGGTTGCCACAATGTGAATGGTATTCAGTGGGCACGTTGTGGCCGCCGAAGTTTTAACCAATTTTGGTAGTTGGAGTCCGTGCTTCATAGTGTGATTGCATTCGACTGAGGGCATCAGACTAGGTGTGCGGTATAATATTGCAGGTGCGACATACAGAAGTCAGGTTGATGGTGAATGTATGAAATGGTATGACCATATGTATTTACGTGGTAGTGACTGTGGTTTGTTTATTGCGGTATCGAATGCAGTTGGTGTGGGCGCCGCTCGGCGCGTATCATGTGACGATGTTGATGGAGTGTGAATATGTGTCTAGCTCTGTTCATGGACATGTTCTTGATGCAGCTGCACGCTATATGTACATGTAAGCCGAAGTCCACATACTACTGCCTTGTTGTTAAGAGTCACTAACCTTGATCATAAAGAAGAGTCTTTGCGTTCAAGTAAAGAACAAGAAGAAAATACTCTAGTGACAGATTTCAAATGTAAATAGAGCGTGCCTGTGACCGGTGGTGCAGATACCGAGGGGATACACTTACACCCTAGTCATGCCTAAAATATGACTTATAGGTAACAAAAGTATAGTACAAAAATAAACTATAATTTAATAATTTCTCTCATTAGGATATAAAACTTTCCTAATTACATCATGGTTGTCATTTAATATTCAGTCGAGGGTTAAGCGAGTCGCAGAGACGAGCGTTACTTGTATTTTAGGTTGACTTCGACCATACAGAATTATATGAATCCATTCAATTCAAATCAATACAATAAAAAAATGCAAGTGTTAGTTTTAATTTTTTTTTTCTTTTTCTTTTTTGGATCATACTGAGGGATGATAAGTCCTCTTGTGATCTTTTTATATTATTGTTTTCTTTTCATTTTAGGGAATTAATAACAAAAAATAAATAGATACAAATCATGCAAGTTTTTCTTTTCTTTTCAGATATCACCATTCAACATTGACGGGTGAGTAATTATTTCTATTTTTCATTGCCTTTGAGTTGAGAGTAGGGTGAGTCTTAGACAAGGGAGTGCTAGTAAGGTTGAGGGTGGGGAGAGTGAGTTCGTCTTATAGGAAGGACAGTCGGATAATTCATAAAAGCCCAACCAGGAATTGTCTTGATGTTCCTGACAGCACGATCAAGCTCCAGACTCACTGACACATGTCATCGAATGGGTGCATGTGAATGATGTGTGTCTTCCCGCGCGAGTATAAGCATTACGCTCGCCGCGGCTCCACCAGAATAAGCCCTGGTTGTGCATGAGAGCATGAATTGAAATCAAAAAAAAATTTTCCATGCGAATACAATTTATTGAAATGAAAAAAAATTGTACACGATGATTATTCAAATCGGTGACATCGAGATTGCCATGTCGATCGAAAGATAAACTACTGAGTAAATTGAACTGAGTTGCTCCTGCTCTTCCACCATTTCCACCCACAATGATAGTACCCTCGTTTGCTCCTTTAGGCCAACGCATCACTCGATGATTCAACGAATCTCCTACATAGATGGTGCCCAATATATCGACGAAGAGTCCACCAGAATACGACAATTGTGTCAGAGCCTTCCCTTCATCTTGACCTCCAGCGACGATAATGGATTCTTTTGCATCTTTATTCCATTTCATTACACGATGATTGTTCTGGGGTGTGGGTATGGGTGTGGATTTGATGTGTTCTACGAGTTTGCAGGAAACTGATTTTCAGACGAATACTTGAATAACTGCTTCAAAAAGATCATAATAGCCACAATGGACATAATCGTCGTATTGGATATGATCATCAAAGGCATTGAGCTCTTACATGTATTAAAAGTGCTTGAATTCTAAAAAACGACAGACATCACATCGCACCAGGTATGGGTGTGGAGAAAGGAGATTCAAGGAGAACGACTCACACAACATCGCACCAAGGGTGGTGCGGAGAAAGGAGTTTCACGGAGAAGGATTCACACAACATCGCGCTAGGTGTGGGTGCGGAGAAAGGAGTTTCATCGAGACGGACTCAGACAATATCGCACCAGGTGTTGATTCAAAAAGGGAATCTCAGCGAGAAAGGTTCACATAGCATCGGACAAGGTCGTAGATTATGTCCATTATGTCCATTATGTCTATTATGGTCTTTTTGAAGCAGTTATTCAAGTATTCGTCTGAAAATCAGCTTCCTAGAAACTCGTAGAACACATCGAATGAAATAAATAATTTTATAATTTGTCAAAGAGTTCTTTTATGTATAAAATCTTGCAATTGTTAATTTGACCTCCAACATGTATCTCATATATCTGCGCAAAGATTATCGATGTTTTGATTAATTAAACAATCAAGCGATCTCTCAAAATTTTCGAATAAAAATGATAATGAAAAATCGTCTCTAAATAAAAAGAAAATGTACAACTAACGATACGTCGTTCTAAATTATCAAAATTGAGAAGATGTTTTTACAAAAATTGGATAATTAACATTTTCAGTGAGACATAGAGTTACAATTTGTCTCACTAATATTGCTAGCATCGAACGAAGAATTGTGCGATAGATGAATTCCTATAAAGCCATTCGTTAACATTATCTGATGGAATACGATATTAACTGTGAATACTTGCTTTAACGATTGATACTGAACTAGGAACAAACTCTACTCAAGCAAGAAACTAATAAATATTCATACACATATTTTAAAATAGAATATAAAAAGACAAGACACTTTGCAAGTTGAATCAAACAAGAAAACTAGAATGCAATGCGCTATTCTTTTAATCATGTTTATTCTTATTGAGTATAATTAATCTTTTGTTTCGTATGATTGATGTTTTTTTCTTTTTTTTTTTATTGATGTCTTACATATTAGCATGTATTGAGTATGTGAGCAATATACGATATGTAAGACAAAACGAGGATTAAGAGAGTCATTTATTTTGCAAAAAACCTTTTTATCGAGGAGAATTATATCAATTGTTAGTTACTTGAATTAATCTGCTTTTACTTGTATAATATTATTTCTCTTTCTTGTGATGATTCAGTAGACGAATATTATCTTCTTCAAATTTTAATAGTCCAAAATGAAATGCATTATATTTTAACACATCGTATTTTGCATACACTTCATCCTGACTAAATGACAAAAAATTTGATTTTTTTCAAAAGATAAATTGCAAAAATCTCTACAAAAAATACTCAACCAACTTCTTACTATCATGTTTTGATGTTTGTTTTTATACAGTGTAGTCAAAATGAAACACCCCTTTACTCAGCTACGCTCTTTACAATTTTTTGTGGGTGTGGGTGTAGCTACAGGATATTCTTCTTCTTCAATCAGCC